TTTTCAAGGAGTTATGTATAGACATGATTTGTTCACTAAAAAAAAAAAAAAAAAAAAATGCCTACGGCAGATGACTGGCCAGACAGGCATTGACATGGATGTGCTATAGGCTTAGAAATGTATTTGCAAATCATAATATAATGGAAATGGACATCATACTTTGCATTTATATAGCAACTATTTCTCCAAGGACCTCAAAGGATCCTGCAGCCATTACCTGACTCATCCTTGTTATAGGCTTGCAAGATGAAAGAGAGGCAGGGATTACTCATCCCATCTCATTAAAGAGGAAGTAGATGCCTTGAGGGGATACACTGACAGGCCAAGGGCATAGTATGAGTCATTTGTTTGCTCTAAACCATGGACAGGCTGAAATTTAGTTGCAAATTGTTCTCAGACTTACCAATTCTGACCTATAGGCTTCTAAGAAGGAAATGACTCAGACGTTAAATGCAGTGTGGAGGGAAGACTGGACTGGAAGGGCACAGGGAACGGTGCCCAGTTGTCCTCCACTGGACTCTGCTGGTGGCCTTCTTCCAGACAAGCATAGTGCTTCTCACAACAGAGAGAAGGCAACGTCCCTGCTATTTCTGTACCGGACACAGCTCCATGTTAATAACTGCCACAGATGACTGTCCACAATGCATATGTGTAACGTACACTTTACATATACGTTGTGTCATCTTATAATGGCTAATGTCTACTTAACTTCCTTGTCAAAGAGATGGGCTCAGGAAAGGCCTGATGGCCTATCTGTGGTCATGCGCCTGACATGTTTAGGCACAGGACTGAGTGTATTTTGATGGATTTGAACATGTTTATTTCTACCATGCTCCCAGTTATGAGTTCATAGTCACACTGTGAAGGCCCCAGTGCCAGAGCTTCTCACCAAAACTATGTCAGATAATTCACAACTAAGTTTCCTGGATTCAGTCACTCCACAGTGTATATATACCTGAAAACATCATGTTGTATGTGATAAGCACACATGATTTATCTATTTTTAAAAACTTAATTAAAAAGCTGGAGTCAACTGAATCCCCAGCCACCCACATTTCCAGAATACTTGCAGTATTCCTTGGCCAAATGGGCCCAAGGGGCAAAGACCCACGTTGGCCACTGTCATCACCAGGATGGTTGGCCTTCCTGGTACTAGATTCCTACCTGGAGCCAACTCTAGCCAGAGTTGGTGGCACAGCTCCACAAGCAGGGATTGGGGGAGACTGTAACCTGGAGGCTGACAGACCCCGTGGGCCCTTTCCCTTATTTACCCAACACTACCAGTTAGCATCTGGGATCCCACCGACCATCACCACTGGGCAGAATGGGCAGAGCTGCCTCATGACAGTGGTATCTTTCATGGCGAAAGAAACTGAGGCTCAGGCCTCCCCAGAGTTACAAAGAAAAATGGATGTGCATAAGCATCAGGAACTCAGCCGGGTGGTGTAGCACACACCTTTAATCCAAGCACTTGGGAGGCAGAGCCAGGTGGATCTCTGTGAGTTTGAGGCCAGCCTGGGCTACAGAGTGAGTTCCAGGAAAGGCGCAAAGCTACAAAGAGAAAACCTGTCTTGGAAAAAAAAAAAAAGCATCAGGAACTCACTCTCTTAAGGGTTTTTTTTGTTTTGTTTTGTTTTGTTTTTTTTTTGTTTTTTTTTTTTGTTTTTTTTTTTTTCAGTTTGGTACCACCACAAGGTACTGCATTTAGTAGAAAATAGAAACTAGGGGGTAGAAAAAGCAAAGGCTGCATCTACAGGGGACTTCCTTTTTTGCGTAGTTTAGAAGGGCATGTCACTTAGTGCCACAGCTCTGAGGTGCAGGTATTATGAGCCACCCACCCACCCCCATCTCTAATTACAGAAAGCAAAGCCCGGGGTGTAAACAGCAAAGCTAAGCATGGGAGAAAGCCAGGATCCCAACACGGATATGTGGGCTTTGTGCCCTTTCCACTAAGCTTCAATGGCCCCAGAGTGTCTGATGCTGTGCTTTGCTCCTGATGCTGTCATCCTAAGGTGGTAGGGGCGTTTGCTCATCTTCAAGCAAGAATGTGAGTCACAGATGCAGCCCAGCAAGCATGGGTGGGATGCCTTTGCATCAGCCACTATGTCCCCTGGGGCTGGGGCTAAGTTATGACTTTAACCATGCTATGACTGCAGCTTAGCAACTCACTGTATGCAACAGTGCTATCCCAAAACACAAGTCACATATGCCATGTGCACTTTCATAGGAGCCCCAGATGCAAGCCACACCTGTAACCTAAAAGCTTCCGGTAGTTAACATAAAATTAGGGAAAAGAAAGAAGTGGCATAAATCATAGTAATATTTTACTTAAACCAATACATTCAATCGATTATCATTTCAACATATAACCAATATAGAATAGTTAGATATTTTACATCTTCTTTTTCTTTATAACTTTTTTCATATGTCTTTGGAAACTCAAACTATACTTTCTATTTATGATATCTTTCCACTTAGACAAGTTGCAGCTGAAGTGTTCAGGAGCCACAGGAAGCTGATGGCTATAGTATTAGGCAGTGTGGGTCAAGAAGGATCTATAAAGCTTGGAGGATGTGTCCTGAGTCAACCAGCTACCAAGGTAACAGCACAGTGGTTGGACAGCAGAACCAGTCTTTCTTGGTTGTGAGTCCATTTTCACTGTGTGCCAGCTGCACGTCTTTGGGCCATTTCCTCAGCCTGTGTTGCCTTGGATACTTGATCTATAAAATAGAGATGGTAACAATACTGTGGTGATATTGTGTCCCCCAATATATTGTGCACCTTAATAAACTTATCTGGGGTCAGAGAACAGAACAGCTGCTAGATAGACATAGAGGCCAGAAAATGGTGGCACACACACCTTTAATCCTAGCATTCCAGAGGCAGAGATCCATCCGGATCTCTGTGAGTTCAAAG